GAATTCATACTCCAGCCAACTCATCCAAAAGTCCGAACTGATGGGAGGGAGGCGGGCAATATATTTCAACACTCCCTCTCACGTCTAGGCTATTTTAGTCCTTAGACGTGGGATCGATGTAGGCCGCAGAATCATTTTATTTATTTTATTTAATACTGCGTTGGAAGGGTCTTGAACTCAAGACCTCTTGGCTCGGATACCATATTGAATTTATACTCCAGCCAACTCATCCAAAAGTCCGAACTGATGGAGGAGGCGGGCAATATATTTCAACATCTGATGCAATTTAGATGAATGATATTTTGTTTTGGATGATCATGTTAATACATTTGGACCCTGTGTTATGTTTGAATTTAAAAAATTATGAATTTGAAACGTTGTCAAATTGTATGTGCTACAAACATAGAAGTTTGAATTATTATGACGTGAAAATGACATCAACATGGTGCAGATGCACAATAAAGGGCAGCCCCAGTGCATGTAGCTCCCGCTTGCGCAGGGTCTGGGGAAGGGTCCGACCACTTTGGGTCTATTGTACGCAGCCTTTCCCTACATTTCTGCAGATGCACAATATAAGGGAAATATAAGAAAAAGGAGATGTAGGGGTGGATTATTGGTAGTCCGCCGAAGCAGGAGGCCAAAAAGTGCTCTCAGATTCAGAGAGCAAATTTCAGAGAATTTGACTGCACGAATGTAAAACATCTCTCATGGAATCACAGATGGAGTACTAACTATTTGTTACACACTCAAGACCTTTCATCCACTATACCCCCCTCCTACTCTTATCTTGATAATTTTCTTCAATTATAATGTTGCTGAAATTATCAAATATGACACGGTGAAGGTAGTATTAACAAATCTACTAATGTCATTTCACATGCTCCTTTTTATGAAAAATAGGGGGCATTCAGATACATGAGTGATCAAATTATTTTAGTAGTTAAAAAAAAGAACAGAATCAGTATTGATAGTTTAGAACACAGGTTACTCTAAATTTCAAGGGCTTCCCGACCCATATGATCAATATGCTGATCCTATAGTACATAAGCAATGAAACATACCATCCTCCCAAGGAACGATGACTGATTCTGTGGTCTTTTATGTGGAGTGGTTCCCGTTGAGCCAACAGCTTTTAGGCTCTTTTGTAGTATAATCAATAAAGTCGATGAGTTCGATAGCCAGTATGCAAGATCCTCATTGCTATCATGATTCTGAAATACAGACAATGCCATGCTTTAAGAACAGATTGGTTAAACTGGTAGAGATGCACGAGAAACAAAAATCTTGCAAAACAATTCATTGTAAAAAATAGGATCAAAAGCAGCAGAGAATACCTGCATCGCAGAACCAAAAATTTGAATAAGCCTATCAAAAACAGATGTTTTTTCTGTTTCAAAGATCTTCCAGTGAACAAGACATTTGTATATGGTAATTGCAGCAACTGGCTTTCCTTCACTAAAGCCAATATTTTCAGTAACACAGTTTATAAGTGCATCCACAGTATCCTGCAGAAAAATAAAAGGGCAAAACCAATCATCATAAGGTATATGTTTTATAACTTCACTACGTTGTTTAAACATTTAAATATAACAAATTGAACATACATGCTGCCTCTCAGAAAAGGATGCCCTTGGATGTGCGAAGTTCCCATAATCCTTGGGCGCTCGAGGAGTGCCATGAGGTGTCTGGGTAGAAATGACCAGTTTAGATTCAAACATAGAAACAAACAGTGAAGCGACTTAACATATTGTATAAGACAATTTCTTCTGACCATCTGTTCCTCATAGTGTGGGCTGCCATTAGTCGAATTCTGCAAAGGTGGAAGGCAATAGAAGTATGTCAGTAATAAAAACATGGAAACATGTATAAATGGAAAATAAATACCAGCAGACCTATGTCTGTGTTCAAACACTTGCATGTAAATAAAAAATGCGCTATAATGAACAAGGTTGGGATGGAAGGAAGCAGGTTAGACATAGAGACCACGTACAGATTTCGGAGAAGTGTTCTCAGATATTGTTTTCAGGCGAGAATGCAACAGAGCCTGCTGCCGGAGAAGTTGATTTTCAGCTTCCATATTAGTCAACTTTTCTTGAAAACTGCCGGTCACACAATATAAAGAAAATTGTGTAAGCTAATTGGAAAATCAATGCCTTTACAAGATTTATCCAGATCGAGGTAACCTTAGCATTGTGTTGGTCAGTTCATTTATCTTTGACTCGGCATCTGTAGCTATCTTCAGCAATTCTTCTCTGGCTTTCTTCATTTCTTCAAACTTCTGTTCTGTTTCTTCAATTTTTGTCTCAAGAGAAATCACCAGTGTCTAAAAATATTAAAGGAAATTGTTTCAGTCATTCACTTGAAATAACAATATATAGATATGAATAGGAGAAATTAATTGATAATGTCACTAGGTTTACTGTAAGGGCCAAAAAATGCTCGGGAACACATTTGATCAGCATTACTCGCTTGTCGAGTTAACTTTCCTTCAAGCAAATGGTGCAGGATTAGGATGGGTATTTCATCATGGTCCTTTTTAGTCATTATTAAATAAGTTATGACAGTTTCTTAGGCGTCGGGTTAGTCTAAAATATAGGTGTATGAAGCCATGCAGAGGCAGCAAAAACTATTGGAGAAGAAATGATTATTTGCATAGTGTGCCAAACAAATTAGCTGTTTTTAGAACGGATTCAAAGTCTAATCACTTTTAACAGATCAAAGAATTAAACTAGACAATACATTTGTTCTCAGTTCTAGTTTTCACTACTGAAGCGACTTAGTTAATTTGCATCAATGGTAATCAAGCATAATACCATGACTTCCAAAAATGATTAAAGTATTGTGTTAGCTCCAACTTATGGTTTTGCATGTGTAATATGTTCATAAAAAATAGTTCGGAGAAAATATCCATTAGGACCTAACAAGTGACACTATTAGCATGGGATAATGTTTTCTACACTGGTCAAGGTAGCAGCACCATTACCAGCTAGAGAACCGTCATGCTTGGGGAGTCGGTATAAATATCCCCGTTATACCACATACAACTAGTTAGCTCATGCTTAAAGTTAGGCCGTGAAACATTGCACTCTCTTAATTGTGCTTGAACTCTCATCACATATTGTGATGCATATATTGCCTTCAATCAACTCAGCACATATAATGGCCTGACATCATACATTCCACTCACGGCGAATGGTTTTGCAGGTTACCATGACTCCACCAGAGTGGACAGACTGAGAAACACAATGAAACTACTGCAGTAAAGATAAAAGATGATACTATCAGTATCACGTTCACCTTAAGATTCTCATTTTCAGCAGTAAGCTTGTCAACATGAGTTGTATCAATTTGGATCTCTGGTACTAAGGCAGCTTTCTCCAATGCTGTTTTTGTGTTTTCCTGTTCCCTTCTTAATATATCTTTTGTCTCCTTGGACTGGAATTGCAATTCCTGTAATTGTTGTTGCAACTTCTTATTTTCTTGTGTCTTGGCTTCTTCCATGTCAGTCTGCAGGCCAGCAAAATGCACAAGGCACTTAAATAATGATTTAAAAGGGAAACTAGATTGAATGCTTATTACGACCTAGGTTGTGCCAACAGTAATATCCATTTTACATAGTTACACACTAATTTAACTTAATTGTGTATTAGATTAAGTGTGAATTTCAGTTATTGTGATATATCGTGGTACTGTAACTTTTATAACGGACTACTCGATTGACATAGTGTGATTAGAAGTTCGATACTAGGAACAAATCTACCAGTCGCCAAGATGTGCAGATCAGATGCAAAAAGTTGACTACGATAAAGTATCACTATAAAGAATAGTTGCAATTGACTCTAAAATGGACTGGAAAGGATCTACATTCATTTAGCAATTCACAGTGCAAAAATAGGAGAATGGTCATGATACGCGCATTCATTCAAATGTATTCGCGTGTTCAAGCAATTGATATGAGCAGCATATGGAGTTGAAAAAGAATAAGTAATTGTTAATTTGGAACCGCAAGAATGACCATGATAAAGTATCATTATAAAAAAATGCAGCTCGACTGGAAGGAACTTATGTCCATTTACCAATTCACAAATAAACATATGATGCTAATAAATTGCAAACACCTACTCAAATGCATTCATGTGTTAAAGCAACTGCAGGCTTGTCTAGATGCAAAAGTGAATAATGGTTCATATGGCCATGTAAACATCATTATGCAGCATGAAACTAAAAAACATTGTTCATGAAGTTATCATGCTCTTGGAACCATATTAACTTTAATCGTCTTGTAAAGGTGCTCGTTGTTCACATTTTACTTCTAGTGTTACTTAATTTCATTAGTTTGGGGGAAAACAACACCTAAAAAACAAAATTCACCAACAAAATGCACAAGTTATGAAATTCTAAGTTCTGGGGAAGAACAGATGCATTGTCTAGAGAATGTACTTACTATGCTTTCAAAACACATTGATTGAGTAGAGTGAAGTGCACTCTTGGTCCCAAAACTTATACCGCATTCACAAGTATACCCACAACTATCAAAACGCAGATTTACCTCCCTAATTCCGTCTAAAGGCTGCGTTTGTCATTGAGGTGGATATTATAATCTGAATCCAGCTTTTCCAACCAACTTTTGCTTATACTTTCATTTGTCTAACAACCATTTTCTTGCTTCTGTGTCTATTTCCAGCACAGTTATAAAATAAGTTTAGCACAAAATAGTTTAGCAACCGCAAACAGAGCCTAAGTGGGTCATTACTCTTCCCAAAGCAAGACGCTGTGCTGATTTCGGCAAATTGCATCTAACTTGGCCGCATAATTGAGAATAACCTCCTCCTTGAGAATAAACCTGGTCATACCCCGGGCCAGGCCGGGACTTGCAAAACCCGACCTGAAAGTGCCAAGCCTGGCCTGGCCCAAGGCCTGGAAAAACACTTATTTCATATTAAGAAAATATTAAATTATCATTTTGGGATAAAATAATTTAGTATATAGCTAATTTCTAGGGGGGGAAATGACTCCTCCCGGCCTTTTTTGGGCTCTCGCGTATGGCTTCTGGCAAAAAATGAGGCCCAAGCCAGCCCGGGCACCGGGCTTTCAGGCCAGGCCCGTCGAGCGAGTCTGCCCATCCACAGCTTGGACTGGGATAAGTTCGAAGGCCAAGCTAAATCACCTTGATAAAACGGCAAGATGAAATGGCTACAATGGCATTGTAGATTGTATATGTCATAGAATTAGAAGCTAGTGGCAGATTTACTATTATGCTTTCGAGAAAACTAATTCTTAACTGTGCAGCCTTGTGTGCTACAGAGTGCGTGCTTGTCGCTGCCATCCGATCTAATCAGGCGGACGTGAGCACACACACGCATCGGTTGGTGGGGACTGGCCAATCTGTCCGTGGGGGTGCAAGAGTCACGATTGATGAGGGCAAAACGACAGGAGATGCGTTCACACCGAGTGAAAAGATCAGGCTGGCTCACATAATCCTGCCTTTTTTCCTTTGGAGGCATCTCCTTTCTCACACACACAGACACTGATAATAGCTTATTGAGAAGAATAACAATCCAGTATGCATGACATAATAGCAAATACTTTATCAAACATAGGCCTGTGCAACATAAATAGTAAGACAGTAAAGTACAGTAATCCAGTAGTTTACCCTCATGCGTTTCTCCAGTTGCAACCGCCAAGTGAGCTCCTCAACTTGCTTCTCTAACTTATTCTTTGCAGCTTGCAGAGCACCACTTTCTTTTGCAGCCTAAAAATAATAAAGAAGAAATCATGTCAATAGAGCATGTATTAAACCCTTATATATGTGCTCATTGATGATCCAGACTTCCAGAGTACCAGAAGAGTGACAGCTGTGGACATATTGGACATTAAGTGAGCTTGCAGGTAACAGGGTTTTAGGAACAACGTTTAAGCTAGCATGGTGATATTTTTCATCTATAGGAGGTAATCTAAGGTAGAATATACAATTGGAGAATGTTCAACATAAATTAATGAAGCTATAAGTTCTAGTAGCACCGGTGAAGTTTCAAATTTTCAAATAGCATTGCTACATTATGAATTGACCAAGTTTTGAACTTCCTGTGACCAACAGCAATTCACAATGACAGTGACAGCACCGCATGTCACTAGAGATAATTGATCTCTTATGGCACATTACTAATGAATCAAATAATACTATAACAGCGGGCAATGAAAGATAAGGATAGTCGGGACATTTTTTCCTACCATTTTAAGTTTTCTAAGTTCTCTTCTGGCCACCCTTCCTCTCCAAGCACATTGGGTTGTGATCGCTGCCTTCTTTAAGCCCATATACCGTGAGCTTGCTAAATCACTACGGCAGCAACTCTGCGGTGGACGAAATCATTGAGATTAAAGTTAAGATAATGTAACATATATGAGGTTAAGAGTGAATGGTAAGAAAAGGGAGATATACATATGCATAGGCTTGAGTATATCACCAAGATAGATACACACTTGAAGAAGAAGAGATATTGGAAATGGGAGAATATTATGGCAATTAAGACAAATGGCAGGAAGGTTTAATTGTTTAACATGAACAAAAGAACCATGATTCATGGGCCTCCTTTACAGTTTTCCATTCAGAAAAAAAAAAAGATTCATGTATTTTACTAGCTAACAGTTATTTCATCTACTACGTTCAATATCTTACATTAGTAAGATGTGGTTGCATGATATAATGTGTAGAGTACTTCCAATTAGACAAAGTTATAGTTCATCCAATGTGGCATTTAACATATCACCTAAATGTGCATGTTTTGTTGGGAGTACAAGTGCCACGAATACAACTTAAGGTAACAAAAGATTTTGGATACTGAAAAGCCAACACCGTAATATCTAGGCCGTATTAGAATTATGATCTGAAAATTTTACTCATACAAAGAGCACTACATGAGTTTGAGTAGCCAAAGAAACTTGACCATTCTATTCTGAACATCTTATTACCCACGATAACATGAGACCCGAAAACACACCTGAATAATCACTGCCGCTTTTGTTTGCTGACGGAAATGGAATTCGTTGCGAGCAGTCATACCACGTAGACCTGATTGTATAGTAGTTGATGCAGAATAGAGAGCTTTGTAGTTTTTCCTTGCAAAGTGCATACGATAGTAGGTCTGAATTTTTAATGAAGCAGCCTTCCTACGGAGATCTTCATAATAATGCCTTGCAATTTGTCCTTCAGTTATCACAGCTCAAAAGTCATTATCTCCACAGAAAAATCAAATGCTGAAATGTGATACTATTTGCCACATAAATCAAAGAAAAATTACCTCTGCACATTGCCTGAAGCTGAACAGAAGACATTCGCAGCTGAATGAAATTTCTGCGAGCCAGGAACGACCGAACTTTTCGCTGGATTTTACTAGCAGAATAGCTCAAGACCTCAGTCCTCCGAGCATCTAATTCAGCCATCTGGCCAGCACGCAGAAACACTTTTGTTTTCCCTATCTGTAGATTGGACATCAGACCATAGGATAAACCAAAAGGAATTAAAACCAACATCAGCATTGAAGTATAGAAGAAATAATTTGTGCAGATAGGGATGTGATACCGCATTAAACTTATTATTCATCCTACCAATAAATTTGATGGATCTATTGACAGAATATGCATGAAACTCTGTGGTCAGTGATTCAACCTTTCTGGGATGCTTGGTAATAATTTTATCGTAGTACCACAAGATCCTGTGTCTGAATTGGATTTGGCCAAGTCTGGTTTGCATTCAACTAAGAAACTACAATAACACTGCTCCAAAAGAGTAACCTCTGTGATAGAATAATATGATATCTACAACATATATTACTCTATTATTTTAGGCATTTGCAGTAACCCGCGTAAAGGTTAAGTTCGTGAACATATATACAGATAGACCATGCAAGATGCAACTTAAACTGCTTATCTGACTGGCATGTTTACAATATGGAAAATAGGAAATAAATTGCGGCCTTGACATTAGAGGAAAACATATGAGAAGCCAAAGAAAGACTAATCTTGTACAGCTGGAACAGGATATGGATTAAACTGGACACATTACCACCACTCGTTTCAGTACTTAGTAGTCACCTGATAACCTGTGAGGTTTACTTTCTCAAGGACCATGTTTGTGGCAGTAACTTCATCATAACTGCCAATGGAGGATTAGTTTAGAGTGCTTAAACACAAAGAAAAAAAATCCAAAAACACGAATCAAAACACCTTAGAATTACCATAAACCAAGAACTTCTGGTCGTAAAACACTAAAGCGATCAACAAATTCTTCAAAAGTCCGCCTTGTCGGATATCCTAGACAGCTTATTCTTATTGCCTCTAGCACCCCCTGTATACAAAATATAACAGTGTCACTCTCAAAATGCTAGCTCTTAGAAAACTGCAGAAAGCCCAAATTTTGGCATAGTTGCCCCAATGGGGGTCGATAGCAAGTTTTCATAATTGGCCCAAAATTGTGAAGCACAACCTCCCAGAAACCCTAGGCCTGCACTAAGCCACCCTCCCAAGCGAGTGCACTGTTACTTCTCATTCCCAATAAGTAATGCCTCAACTCTCACTGCCCACTCTCCCGCATGTACCACACAATAACACAATGCAGCAGCTGAAAATCCTCAATCCCGACCTTGCTAGGCTGCAAGGGTAGCCACTCCCTCCCCCGGGCTCTGGCCAACATAGTGTGCCAGTTAGTTGCACCTTCCTTCAACTCTTCCAATGCCGGTGCTTATGCTTCCTCTTGGTTCTCCACCTTTCCTCCTATTCAATGATAGAAGTTGTATTTATGTTTGTGGAAAGAACAGCTACACCGAATGTATACTTCTACACCACGTAGAAGATTTCGGGATGGATGGTAGCGGCTACCCAGCTTTTGTTAGTGATGTCGATGGGGATTTGTTTTTAATTCTTTCCGAAACAAGAGCAGTATATGTATATATGCATAGCTGCTGTAGTGCCTTTTGTGGACATGGTGACTGACAGGAAGTTGGCAGTGCTACAATAAAGGGCGGGGGTGACTGACAGAGGAAGTTGGTGCCAATGTAGAGTGGAGACATGTCACAAGCTTTGGTAGATCGAATCTTACTTAATCGGTATCTGCCTAGATAGAATACATCATTTCATAGCATTTGTCTATTTTCATTTCTATATTAATATTGGTGTTTGTTTCAGTGGTGTAATTTGCTTTTGCTATAATTTAAGTTAACTGCAATCTAGTGAAATTTGCAAGTTAGTAACCCTTTGATTCATTTCCAGGTCGGCCAATGGTATGGAATACTTGTATACATAAAAAGATGACTTGATGTTCTCTTGGACCTTGTATAAATATCAGTATGTACACTGCAGTAAGAAAAGAAAAATAATCCAAGTACATACTTCCAGTAAATAACTAAAAACGGTATTAATTTCTTACCCCACATCGAAGTTGCTGGAGAACATTACTGTTCTCAAAAATTGCTGGCTTGAGAACATTATTAGGCTTTATGCAGCGCATGTAATGTGGTTCTGTTGAGCTGAGAGTTTCTAACAAACCTTGTAATTGTTGCTGTTATGTTACAGATAAAAAAAATTGTCATAACAAATCTAGTACAGGCTGAAATAAAACAAGCAATGACTTCTTTACCTTAAAGCTCGAACCTATTGATGTGAACTTTGTGGATTTATTCGATTTAGTCGATTCTTCAGAAGGAGGAAAAAGACTTGAAACAAATGGAGATGTAGAAGCATGTAACAAATCTTGATGCTCGTTGACAGCATAATCTATGTTCTTATCTAAGAATAGATCCGTTTGGTATGTAACCTGCAAAAGAAAGAAGTTCTTAGTACATAAGCGTGTCAATCTCAACTGTAGAGACTCAGATGTGGTGGCACTACCTTGCCCAACTGACTAATCCATCACCAGTGTAAGTACAGATTCTACGTTGTATGATTGTTTTGGGGGAGTTCTTCTTTTTACAGCATTGATTATATTATAGTTGATGTCCAAGCGAAAAGAGATGAAGACATATATGACTGGAAAAGGTGGTCAGCGTACTATCACAAATACTCCCTCCATTCCAAATTAATTGAAGTTCTAGCTTTGTTAGTAAAAAGAAAATTGAACAAGTCTAAAAAAATATAACATCTACAACACCAAATTAGTTTCATTAGATTGATAATAAAACAGGGTGTGACTAAAGCTCACTCGACTTAGACTTGGTTAAGTCTAAGACAGCAGACATCAGCATGTTTTTAAAAGTAATTTTTGTATTTTATGTTTTACTTTTTTCAGTTGCAAGTGAAAAAAAAATAGGAAATAAAAAGTCATGCCCGCAGCACGCGGTGAAAAAGAAAAACCCTAGTTGCACGCATGTTGGTGCACTTGCAATTACGCGCAGGGTGCGCCTCGTGCAACTGTACGCGAAGGGGCCGGCAATGATGAAGCTAGGAAGAAAATGGAGGGTGGGCTCAAAGTTAACGGCGGGAAAACTGAACGCCTTTTTGAAGGAAAACAACCATTACCTCCTATGTTGTCCAAATAAGCTCAAAAATTCCCAGAATATACTATTAGAAACATGTAGTATTTGCTGGAATTTTTCTGGATGGAAATATTAAATTTTAAACCAAAATTTGAATCTGTCTAGTAAAATAGCCATTATATGCTAATCCTTTTATCCAAATAGGCTCAAAATTTCCAACATTACTACCTGGAACATACAGTATCTATATCTATACCAATATAAAAAGACCCAAATGGGCAGATCCAAACCATATTGACCGTCAAGTCATGTTATCTAGCGGTTCAAATCGCTCCAATGTTGAGCACCAAACACGTTTAACACTCTAATTACCCACCACTGCCATTGGCTATAAACACGTTTTGACTCAACGCTATCCCTTGAAATCTGCCATGTAATTAATATCCTACCATTCCCGCGAAAAAGTAATTGATATCTTAACAAATACCAACGTGCAACAGATATATCTTACCTAATATAACGCGCAACTAATATCCTACCTAATATAAACGTGCATTGCACGTACATTATTACTAGTTTACTAAAAAAATCTGAATGTTTTGAAAAAATATCAAATTTCCAATCAACATTTAAATCTGTCTAGCAAACTAGCCAATATCTGCTTAATCCTTTTGTCCAAATATTTTGATTTTTCCTTTGCAAAGCTTGCAGTAGTTGACTTACAATTAACTGGGACAGCTTCAGGTTTGACAGGAGGACTGCTTGAGCTACTCATATAGAAATTGTGCATATTCATATTCTTTCTCTTCATTTTTGTAAATCTACAAATAAGTTGCATTGAACGTCAATTAACAGTTCATGAACTAGTTAGAGATTTGGCCGTCGGTGCGTGGGCGCGGGCGCCGCAGTCCTAGGCTCACTAGCTGAGTGCACGGGCGCAGGCGCAAGCGTGTGGGCGTGCAACACTCCCCACCGGACAGGGCAACCAGTGGCGCTGCCTCACCGGTCATCGGCTGCAGCTTGCCCCGCGTCCGCTCGTTAGGGTTGGAGCTTCCTGTTCAATCACCGCGTTCACTCCTACTGGCGGTTGTGCGTGTGTGAAGCCGTGGATGGCATGGCATACTGCACGGGCTGAGAGCTGGTCTGATGGGCTGAGCAAGAATGGTATTAGTAGAAAAGTTTGATTTATTGGAGGGCAGGCTTCAGCATGTTGAAGCCTGCTTAGTAGATTAGCCTGTAGGGGGCGGTGTGCAACTTATAGGAAATTTTCAAAAAAAAAAATCAACCAAAAATTTGGTTGCATCTGTGAAATAAAATAGAAAGCAAAAATAAAAAAGAACCACTAGGCGCGTGGAGTGTGGCGCATGCAATTCAGTTGTACGCGGGCGTGCAACTGTAGTTGCGTGTGGGCAGCGGACGTGCAACTTTAGTTGCATGGGGATGACGGGCGTGCAAGTGTAGTTGTGCGCGGCCAGACGGGCGTGCAACCGTAGTTCTGGACAGAAACAAAAAGTAGAAAAAATGATAAAGAAGGCGTAAAACGTGTACCAAGGAATGGGAAAAACCAGAAACAACAGTTGCACACAGAGCCGACGAACATGCAACTGTAGTTCCACTAATGGAAAACAAAAAAAAATGGAAACCCATAAAAGAAAGTAAGAAAGGCGTAAAACGTGCAACAAGGAACAAACAGAAACCCCAAAAAAGAAAAAATCACACAAATCTCCGTGTAAATTAGACGGTTATTTGGCATTCACCATGTTTTATAATCCAACAATGTAACTCAATAGACCAGAGGGCAGCACACAAAACTTTCTTTAGCAGACATCAAGCTTTGGGAGTTCAACTTGATAAATTCTTGTTTAATCAATGTTTAAAAATACAAATCCCATTATAGGGCAGAAGTATGTTTATTTGTTGTTGGCTCTTGATTATGTAGAGCTCCAACAGATTTTGAGCTATATTTCATTCAAACTGGTATAGTCTGAGATTCCCTGTTTTGCTGTCACTACTCACTACGACGAATGCATCAGCAGTACAAAATCCAACATGTGTTCTACACAACTGTCTATTCACTAAGACAGACTTGAGAAATTTGACACTTACATTTCCCGCATAGTGATGAATAGTAAAATCAGACCGTGAAAATTTTGGCCTGCTGAAATGTGGATTGTCCTTGAATTTTTGATATAGCTTTTCAGCGAATGTTTCATGGTTCGAATTTCGCAACATGCTGAAGTATAAGATAAGGGATGTTAGAAAGAATCAGATAATAATCAAACAGAAAAGGAACCTACACCAGTACTTGTACATACCAAGTCTCATCCAGTAGAGCAATTATCCCCCCTGGTTTCTGCATTGCAGGAAATCAGAAATCAGACATGATATTTCATAGCATGGCTCAACCTCATTGGAACCGATCAGTGGATTCTATGTAATCACAAGATATGCATATAACTGAGATATTCTAGTCTGTTTACCAATTCTGACCAAAAGCCAATTTCACATCCAGTTCTGGGTTTTACTTCTATATAGAAAAAAGGGTCAAAATGAGAGGTTATTGTGTGCCAAGTGCAAACTATCAATATAGGAAAGTGTATATAGATAATAAGAAGATATGTTGCAACAAACACCAAATGTTGTAGCAATTGGGCCTTAGATTATTTATTATTGGGCCAAAAGGCCGGGATATGCACATGTACAAGAGTATGGCAAAAATGCAAGTAACACCATATGCAAGAGAGAAACTACACAACTACAGTAGTACAACTAGTATACTTAACAGTTCACCTTCTCAATGAGATCAAGAATCTCTTGGTTGTCCACAAACTGGATGTAACTCCAATCAATCTCTTCTTTTGTATATTCTTCTTGCTCCATCTTGAAAACATGCTGCTCACAGAAAATTGTAGAATTAGTGTAAAACTTAATGACCATAATATAACATAAGTAGAACATTTTATCAGTTAGACCTCAACTCCCTAACCTGATTAAAGTGTTGCTGGAGCTTCTCATTAGTTAAGTTGATACAGAACTGCTCGAAACTGTGGCATAGCAAAAAATCAACATACAGAAGGTATCATCCCCCATATCATGAGTAGATAGTTTCATGTCAACTGGTAGTAATTACTAATTAGAGAATTATTCTGCAGATAGCATCGAGTTGAAGATATTATAGTGATTTATCTCTACACTATTGTATTTTCATGCCTAAAAGCAAAAGCATGCTTCCCTATTTTTCTTCCATGTTGACGTGCTTTCACAAGTTTCCTCTGAGGCACATGCCATGTCTACTATTTGTACCGAGACACACACCATTTTCTACTTTTTACAGCAATCAAATGGGAGCTCTTTCTTGCCCAATAAACGCCATCAATAAATCTAACCAGTGCTGGTTCAGTTTTGTAATACAGATACCCGGTCAAAGCATAATCGCAAAATCACACTCAATCTTTCGTAGCAGCAGCATGTTTCTGTGCAACTGAGCAATTGACTATATAGCAGCTTGTAGCAACAACATGCAAAGATGTGAATGCTACCATCCAATAATGAGATCTTTCTAAAAATGCCAATACTATATTAGCAACCCTGTTGTCGTGTTGCTACAACCAGTTGCAACAGAACATCCATGTAACTGCAAAAAAAAGAACGCATATAACTTCCAGCCTACATGATGTCCTCATTAATGTCAGCTACACAATGTTTAGTCCATCAAGGTTTTCCTATTAGGGGTAATGTTTTACAGTAAAAAACGTCTTGAAATCTTAACTATGATTCTGATTCTGCATATATAAGTCACTGCATACATTTAACATAATAGCTATATCTCATTTGGTGGAATAAGCCAAGTTTCTCTGTTTTGCAGAAGTGCAGCCTAAGCAGTGAAGTTAATGAGATATTTATACAATGACGTTCCTGCTGACTGAAAGGAACTCAACGAATAAAACGAATATTTCTTTGCAGCAAATACTCTAATTTATTGTTTTCTTAAGATTAAGACTGCATTTAGCATAGTGGTGGATGTGATAATCTTATTAGACTAACCAGTTTTTACATATTTTATGTTGGCTAACCAAATTATGTTCATTCTTGCTGCCATTTTCCAACAACAGATTATAAACAAGTTCAGCACGACACAGTTCAGCAACTGCAAACTGAGCCTAACACAGGGCCAAATGCAAAAGCATTCCAGACAAGTACCTGTTTGTCTTGAAACTTTCAAATCCATAAATATCCAGCACACCAATCAAAAGCTTCGAAGTAGGATCCTGTCCTATTGTAGTATTGATCTTATTCACAAGCCTAAAGAACAGAAGTGAAAGTTATTGTTCTGGCAATGGCAGTGACATAATAGGTGGCAACATGACAAGTACCTTCTAGACTAATGTTTTGAAACTTACCAATCAAACAAACGGGAGTAAACCATTCTGGCCAATGCATCTCTACTAAGAGCTGCTGCTCGTGAATCCAAGTTTCTTACAATACTCTCACCACGTGTTACCATAACACGCTTACATAAAGATTCCTCCAAAGACTTTTCATCACACCTGCAGAGTGTTGCCAAATGCATGTCATGTCAAAGATGACCGAAAAATACGGTGGACAGAACCCTGGACCAGGAGTATTACATGAAAAGCTCCGCAGCTGTCCGGAGATGGAACTGGGATTTGTCATCTTTGGGTACAGAAGAATCTGCTTCGCTCCCTTCTGAAAATTCCACATTGCCCAGATGAAGAATAGCAGCTACAACTCTGAATATGGCATCCTGCGATGCAACAGAAATCCTAAGCAAAGATGACCTTTCTGATGAACTAAGCTAGTTTCAAACAAAACCTTGGGCTACCTGCTCATCAGAACTAATGCCTACAATATCCATTGCTCTCCTGGTTGCTATATATTCTGAAGAATCATCCATTCCATCAAGCTTAATGCAGTTAGACTGATTGAGATAGTGAAACAATGAGGCATCTCCCAATTTATATCTCTCACGGTCCTGAAACACAAGTATTTGAGTACAGATCAGAAGTTGTAGTTAATGTGGTTCGCCAAAAAAGATAAAAATGGCAACTAAGAGCACAAATCATAATGGCTACCCTAACTGAAACAGGTAAGCAAATAAGAGGCAATACCAACACAGTGTATTATATATTTTATTTATGCTTGCTGTTAAATGCCTGAAGAACTTAATAGCAAAGAACTATTTCCTACAGAGAAAGTAATTTAATAATGTGGCATCTCAACTGACTAAGTGTATAACGCAGTATCTCTGATGGCACAGATTATGTACAGATGGTATGTTTGTACCCAGTTTGCAGTTTTCTCTTACACAGATTATCCAGAAACATATTGGTATCATATCATAAAAGCACCCCATATGATGGCATGCAGAAAGTTAGACAATATAGTACAAACAACAACAACAACAACAACAAAGCCTTTAGTCCCAAACAAGTTGGGGTAGGCTAGAGGTGAAACCCATAAGATCTCGCAACCAACTCATGGCTCTGGCAGTTAGAAAATATAGTGATTCCACAAATTTCACTTACAGTATCCTACACATTAATTTGATTGTGTCGGCCATGTTACCTCTGGTGGTGCAGCACATAGCATGTAAAAGCAGTGATAATTTCTTTCTGGGTCAGATATTTGACAGACACGAGATCTTTCCAAAAGGTAAGTCCTTATAGCAGCTCCTGAGATCTTCCCATTCTGATCAAACTGAAGCTCAACAAATTTGCCGAAACGACTGCATTATGAGGCACAAGAAATGTGTAGAGCCATATTGTAAGAAGAAAAACGTAAACTTCTGCTAACAAACACTATCAAGGAAAACAAGGTAAAGTAACAGAATCATAGTTCCATTGAAGTTAATTACCTCGAATTATTATTCCTGACTGTTTTTGCATTTCCAAATGCCTCGAGAACAGGATTGGACTGTGGTAATCGAACAGGTAAATTAGAAAACATAAGTCAGTGATATAACATTATCTTTAATTAATGAAATACGAATTTGATGCAGTCCTGAAGAATGAAGGGATGGATTACAAAATAGTCAAAAATGATAGCCCATAATCCATGTATCCACTATTTCATGGTTGTTTAAGAGAAATAGAGCAATAATGAGGGCCTCACCTCCAGTACTTGTTGTTGCACTGACCTCCCATCAGATTCAACTTTGCCACCCATAAAAGCAAGATATTGCATAAGCATTTTAGTGCTTTCTGTCTTACCAGCTCCACTTTCGCCACTCACCAAAATGGCTTGACTGGTACCATAATTCATCATAAGCCTGCACCATGGGTATATTAAGATATATATACAAATTCCAACACACACAAAAAAAACTCAAAAGCTCATTGTTTTCTGAAAACACACCTATATGCACGGTCTGCCATGGCAAAAGGATGGGGACTCAGCTCACCAAATTCGGCTCCTTTGTACATTTCCATCATATGATCATTATAAAGGTGAGGAAGTCTTTGAAACGGATTTACAGCTATCAATATGTTCCCAGTATAAGTCTGGAAGAACAGTTTAATCAATTAAATGTCACCATATTAACAACTAACCAATTAGAGCAGGTCAAACATAAATAGTGTTGATAAATTCCAAGTTCCATAATTGTACAAACTACAAACACCAAATGGTAAACACAACTACACAAGTGAAATGTTGTAGACTACAAAACATAAGAACTGACAATTGTACAGGTGTAAATTCATCAGATAATTCAACTAGCAGCCTAGAGAAAATGTGTGCATTATCAAATATCAATAGCATAAGAAGAAATCATATACTGCACCACTCAACGCACATATATTTCATTCATTCCATATCTTGACTTCAAGTTCCGGAGAACTCCTGGTTCATGCAGATAAGCTAGCCTTGTCATATCCTCAACACCACATCGTTTTACTTCTACATCCTTAGGATAGACACTTGACACATTGGCAGTAACCTGTAATAAGATAAAAACTTGAGAGTAAGTGCACAAATGTTTGATTTTAGTTAGGAATTTCTTTCAGTGCATTAACTTACAATTAAAAGCTACAGGCATAGGATTCTGGCACTAGCAAATTCACAGTTGGAAGCTAAATAATGATTAACTGAGATTTAACAAATATTTCAGGAGAAAAACGTAATAGCCCTGGTAGCATGAGTAGAAATGATCCACGTTTGGTTTATACACATTCTTAAATTTTAATTTTCAAGAAAGAATGCAAGTTATCGAGAAACTGAGAGTACCTTCTTCCCAGAAGTGCAGTTTATTATTAATTCATCCCCATGGACCTCCTCCACCAGACCATCAATCCAAGCCACATCAGCATCCTCGACCCAAACCTGAGAACCCACTGTAAAGCGGCCCATGGATGCCTACAATTGAATATTCATAAACGCGTGAGGAGGGCATGGCATTGTGAACGAATGACATTGTTAACTGACTGAATCAAAAACTGAAAATAATAATGATAACAAGCCAAAATATCAACGAATGATCACAACCCTGGAGCAACATTACTGACAAACAGAGAGTCGAGCAGTTATGGAATACCAAATGCTACAGGCCCATTGTGTCAGTGTTACAACTAGTAATTACAAATACACAACCTAAGTTTGTTCATCAAAGAATAAAACGTAAACTGGAAATGAAAATAAATTTTCAGAAAGCATCATTATACATTATCCCATTATTTAGGTGGACATGATTCAAGATGAGGAACAGAAAAGTGAGTACAAATCCTAATTTTCTCAAGTGATGCTAGTCAGTAATATCATATAACCCCTATGTCAGTGCCATTAGGCTCAATTCCCTATGTAGAGTCCTAAAGAGAACATTTCTGCTAAATGACATTGTACTCATAAGACTTAACTAGTCAACTGCCCAAAGTGGAGTAGGAACCAGCTTCGGATATTTGTCGCTTGTTGAGGTTGACGAAATGCCAGTTCTTTGTGGCTGCTGCGCATTGTTTCATCTTTTTGGCACTCGTAGTTTGGGTTAAGGTGGAGTAGTTGGGAGGCCAATTGAGATGCATGTAAGAGCATCCTTGAGCTGGCAGTCGAGGCCTGGGAAAATGTTAGCTAGGACCAGTGTGTGTGGGATGTGTGCCAGGTACAATGTGGTGATGTTCGAGCTGACTTGGGCAAGGGAAGAAGTGATGCGTCAAATCTTCAATACATTTGACAAACTGAGGATACGGAGATGTTACCAACAGGGCCGAAGCTTAGCCATCAGTAATCAGTTACCGACTGGATCAAACTAAAGTAAGAACTACTGCAATATGTATCTGACTCAAGCATTTCAGTTCTACACTGAACCCACTCGCTCTGTTTTTAAGCTATTACAGCCAAAAAAATACCCAGAAAATTCATACCAAACCAGCAGCTAGTGTCATGGTCAGACCATCATACGATGAAACATATGTATCAGAAAATGCACTATTGGTGCCTTTCTTCCCCTTGAAGCATACAAGCACGGTTATCGGATTGTCCAGACCACCGTGGAACCCCGATCCCGGACCCTGCTGGACTGATCCAGATCGGGGCTCGAATTCGCTGATCGCCGCTCGCACAGAACAGAAGCAACGTACCATGTTTGCCGCCGAAATCCTCGTCAATACCGCCGCTCGATCATGCGGTCACGGTCGCCGTCGCCGCTGGATCACCGCCCTGCCGCCATTGACGTCGTTGTTGACGGAGGGCGGCGCAGCGGGGAGATGTGCGGGTGGACGGTGGGGGCGGGAAGGGTCAGCAGGGAGGGAGGCGAGCTCTGGGGGAAGCAGGAGGCTGCGCGCTGGGAGGAGCAGGTGGCGCGCGAGGTGGACGGAGCACGGTGGAGGCGGCGTGTTTGGGTGTAGAGACGAGACGACGACTGAGGCCGTGACAGGCTCGTTTTTTTTTTCTTTGGTACGAGTAGCGTGGAAAGTGGGGTACTGTCGAATGAAGAATGCAACCAATCAGAGGGGAGATCCTCCCCTAATTAACCTTTTGGCCCATGTCTCGACCTCTTCTTCGCTTCGCCTCACCAGTCGAGGGGGGCACGTGCGGCGACCGAGCAGTCTACTAGCAGCCCGGCCGAGTTCGATGGTTCGCACGTGTGCTTGTTCGGCGATAAGGGCCTGCAATCCACGGAACGGCTAAATTTCGTGTTTTGACTTTTTTTCTAAACCTATTAAAGATAGATCTGATTCTAGTTTGAATTTTTTTCAAGATTTGACCCTTTTGCTACCGCCAGGGATCATGGCGGTAGGGTATAACAGCCTACCGCCAAGGACCCTAGCGGTAGGGTTGCACGCCTTATCGTCAAAAACCTTCTAAGTATTGAACACAGTGTGTGCTCGTGCCTACCGTCAAGCACTTTGGCGGTAGGTTGTGCAGGCTACCGTCAGCCCGTTTGGCGGTAGTGATGTTTCCAACCGCCAAAATCGTTGACGGTAGGCTGTTAGACCCTACCGCCATGGACTCTGGCGGTAGCAAAAGGGTCAGATCTCGAAAAAATTTCAATCGAGGGTCGGATCACGAATAGATTTCAAAAAAAGGTCAAAACACGAAATTTTGCCCCACGAAACAGCTGAATCAGTCCACGAACACCAATGATGAGGACGTCATCTAACGTTAGTCGCATTCGAATCAACTGAACGTCATGCGAACACAACGAGTTTCATTAACATTCAGATGCAATGATTGATATTTCGATCATTTAACTAAAAAAACTAGACCCTATACCAGACGACCACCTTGTACGCGCAGCTGCCCTGCCGCACCATCATTGTTGTCCGTGTTGTCGTCGCCGTCCCTCCAGCATCGGTACGTCACCGGAGGGCCGCGGCATCCTTGTCCGACGGCTGCCTTCCACTCACGGAGGAGACTCTCCGTCTCCTGATGCGTCGTGCGAAGGGTCGTCGTGGCCAGTGCCGACATGGCCTTCGGAGCCCTGGAGGCGGCCTTGTCGCGACCGGTGTTCGCAGAGCGGTCGCTAAGCTACCAATCCTCGCCGATCTTGGCGAGCTCGCCGTCAAGACGACAACGGCGCCTGGCGGCCTTCTCCACGGTGGTCACGGAGCGGTCGAGCGCCCATGCGGCGACAAGGTCTGGATCGTTTTGGATCCATTTCCGATGCCATGTCGCTCTTGGCGAACGCGGAGTGACGACCAGCATTTCACTTGTCATACCTCGCCTGCCGCCGCGCTGCGTGCTCCGCCTCGAACACCACGGCCCTAGAGGCGAAGGCGCTGGCGTAACCGCCTCCTCCGAGGTAATGGAGGATGCGGCCCCCTTTGTGATCGTAGGCGACAACTCCTCCTTGATGTCGCGGCATTGGAGGCGTGGTGGTGCGACGTACCGTGGCGGGGATGTCAGCTCGTCCTTGACGCGACGTTCAGTCTGGACACCGCGATTGCGCGAGGGCGGGGGCGGCGTTTGATTTGGACACTGCGGTTGCGCGGGGGCGAGACAAGCTCATCCTTCATCAGACGGAGCGGCTAGTTGCATGGCGGGGATGACGGACTGATATGTCTCCAACGTGGATGTTTTATGTGCATTTATAAGCAATTATATATCATTTTTGGGACTAACCTATTAACTCAGTGCCCGGTGCCAGTTGTTGTTTTTTGCATGTTTTTAGTTTTTCAGAATATCAGTATCAAACGAAGTCCAAATGCCAGGAAACTTTTTAGAGATTTTTTCTGGACATAAGATACCATGGAAGCTTCGGGAGAGGACCAGAAGATGGAGCAGTGGCCCACGAGGCAATAGTGCGCACCCAGTGGGTGGGCGTGCCCTGGTGGCTGGTGGGGCCCACATGGATCTGTTTGACCTAACTTCGCCCCTATAAATTCTCTAAAATCAGGAAACCAACAGGGAGCCAGCCAAAATACTTTTCTGCCACAGCAAGTTCCAGTTCTCGCGAGATCCCGTCTGGAGGCCTTTTCCGGCACTCTGCTGGAGAGGGAATCAATCACGGAGGGACTCTACATCAACCTTACAGTCCTTCCCATGATGTGTGAGTTGTTTACCACAAACCTACAGATCCATAGTTAGTAGCTAGATGGCGCTCTCTTCCCTTTTGATGTTCAATACAACGTTCTCCTTGATGTTCTTGGAGTTCTATTCAATGCAATCATTTTTGCGGTGTGTTTGTTAGGATCCGAAGAATTGTGAGGTTATGATCAGATTACCCATGAATATCATTTGAGTTTTCTATGAACTATTTTATGCATGATTATTATAGCTTCATATTTCTCTCGGATCTATTGATTTGGTTTGGCCAACTAGATTGATTTTTCTGATGGGAGAGGTGCTTTGTAATGGGTTTTATCTTGCGATGCTCAAACCCAGTGACAGAAAGAGACATGACACGTATTTGTATCGTTGCCATTAAGGATAAAAAAACTAGGGTTTATTCATGTGTGAGTTTATTTTGTCTACATCATGTCATCTTGATTAAGACATTACTCCATTCTTTATAAACTTAATACTCTAGATGTATGCTGGATAGCGGTCGATGTGTGGAGTAATAGTAGTAGATACGGGCAGGAATCGGTCTACTTGTCTCAGACGTGATACATATATAAATGATCATTGTCTTGGATATCGTTGTTATTATTTGCTTTTCTATCAATTGCCCAATATTAATTTGTTTACCCATTGTATGCTATTTTCAAGAGAGAAGCCTCTAGTGAAACTATGACCCACAGGTCTACTTTTATCATATATTAAAAATTCTAAAAGTACCTTGCTGTAATTTTAATTTATTTATTTTATTTTGTATTTTTTCAATCTATCTATCAATCACTACACCATTTAATCTTGCAAGTAACCGCCAAGGGATTGACAACCCCTTGTTCGCGTTGGGTTGCAAAGATTTGTTAATTTGTGTGCAGGTACTGCTAACAAGGTGTTGCATAGTTCTCGTACTAGATTGATAACCTTGGTTCTTGACTGAGGAAATACTTATCTCTACTGTACTGCATCATCCTCTCCTCTTCGGGGAAATCCCAACGTAGTTCACAAGTAGCAGGAAGAATTTCTGGCGCTGTTGTCGGGGAGACATCCAAAACATCTATCAAGTACCTACGCATAAATTTTCATCTCCTTGCATTTACATTATTTGCTATTTGCCTCTCATTTTCATCTCCCCCACTTCTAAAAAAATTTACAAAAAATATTTTCCGTTTGCCTTTTTCTGTTTGCTTGTTTGTTTGCTTGCTTGCCCACTTTATCGTTATGGCTAGTTCTCTTGTTACATGTACCCCTAAAAATGAAGTTCTCGATTTTAAACAATAGGGGGGATTTAAAAGATGCTTGATATAGGATTTGCTATGCTCAGAATAGATCAACTCGTAAGCGGTCCACTATCGTTCTTCTTCGCAATTTTTATGTGGGTATTACTACTTGGTATAGATTTGTGCTTGATACTATTACGGAGGGAATTTTTTGAGTAGTCACCCTATGGATGCTTTCAATGGTATGGGAAATTTAGTGGGATCACCACCTATCACTATTAATGAAACAACTTTAACTTTGAAACATGTTATGCAAAGATTGGACGCTATTCAAAATAAAATGCCTACCGTGGAGCATATTGAAAATTTGGATAAAAAGATTTATAATCATGTCACTTAATGACTCTTAAGATGCTAAAATAAAAAGAACCGATAATTAATGAAAATGTGGAGCAAAGTCCCGCTAGGATTGATAAGTTGGAAGAAATTATTAATAATTTAGGTTCCGCTTTTTCTTCCGTTAAAACTATTGAAAAAACTCCTTCTAGCAAGAATTGCTAGTTATTTATGTTCCTAAAAACAATGGTGCTACACCTAGAAATAACAATGAAGACCTTAAAATGATTAGTGTTCACCTCAATTTCGTTGATTTGATAAAGGAACCGATATATGAAAATAAATCTCTTTATTTTGTTCCTAGGAGTGTGATCATTAAAAACTTGTATGCTAGAACTCCTAGGAAATATGGATGTGTGATTGAGGAGTTAGAAACTAAATATGAAAACACTTCAAACTACACATTATGCCTCGCTAGCACTACTACAAGATGGTCCAAACGCGATAGTCCAATCAAAGACCCTTCGATGAAACTGTCTGCGATGCATTAATCACAAACGGTGGTGTAAGAAAACCGTCAAAATGTGACGGACTATTTGCGATGGCGCACACATCAAACACGATTTAGATCAGAGCTGCGTGTGCGATGCGTGGTATACGGTGAATCCATACGAACTGTTTGCGATGATCCAGAACAACAGAAACGGTCAGCCAGATGAGGGTGTATGCGATATACAGATACAGTTCACTTGGATGAACTGCCTGTGATTAGGCAACACAACAGAAACTGTCAGCCAGATCAAGGTGTGTGCGATGGAGGGCATACAGTTCATTCAGATGAACTATTTGCGATGAGCCAAGACAACAGAAACAGTTCAACTGAAAAAGATGTGTGTGGTACACGGCAATAGGTCCGTGATGAGAAATGTGTGCGAAGACCAATAATAACATAGAGAATTGCTGCTAATAAGCCGTGTGATTTGCTCTGTCTGTAGAAGAACAACATATATATAACTAAAATAAACATCCAATTACATAAGTGACTATACAGATCATTCACACACACCTTAATAAAACAATTGCATGCATTCTAAACTAGGAGAAACGATCATGTAGTCATCTACTTCTTGTGACGCTCCCACCACTGCTCTGTGGCTCGATCCCTCGTCTGGGAAGGACAAAGACACTTCCTCATGTCAACGATCCGCATGTACATCTCATAGCTTGTGTACGCGTACTTGACGTGTTCTTCATCCAGTCTCTGATCCCAGGCACTGTGCTAGGCGATCTTGTCCTTCTTACTCTCATCCTCCATCTTCATGTGGTATGGGTTGATGATGGTCGAGGCGGGGTCAATCAGGGAGTTATGTTTGTTCTTGGTGCTGCCCCAGACCTTGTGGTGGTCACGGATGTTGACAAGATTTTGGCAGGTCAAACCTGAAACATTGAGCGCTTTTAGATCGTTGGTGGTGTCCACCGTAGCGAGACTGTAGTCGGTGTTGTTGATAAACGTGACGAAACGCTCGCAAGGCCTTGTGCCCAGGTGGTAGTGGTAGATGAGGACATCATGTTGCACGCACAACGGGGCGATGACAACCTTCTGATCTTGCCTCGCACGACCGCCGGTGAACTTGAGGTCAAAGCCAACCACTTTGTACTTGTCCTTAGTAAGCAACTACTCCATAGTTTGGATGGGACTCTCCACCGAGACCGGCTCGTTCGTGTAGACCACCGCAAGGTCCTTCCCCTCATGTGGGTGTCCACTACGTGATGTGTGGTGTACTTATTGGGAATGCAGTATTTCAAAAAAAAATCCTATGATCACGCAAGATCTATCTAGGAGATGCATAGCAACGAGAGGGGAGAGTGTGTCTACGTACCCTCGTAGACCGAAAGCGGAAGCGTTTATCAACGCGGTTGGTGTAGTTGTACACCTTCATGATCCGTCCCGATCAAGTAGCGAATGTACGACACCTCCGCGTTCAGCACACATTCAGCTCGATGACGTCCTCGCCTTCTTGATCCAGCAAGAGGGGCGAAGTAGGAGATGAGTTCCTGCAGCACGAGGGCGTGGTGACGGTGTTGGTGAATAACAATCTCCGCAGGGCCTCGCCTAAGCACTGCGAAAACTATGACAGAGTATAAACTAGAGGGGACGGGGTTGCCGACACATGGCTTAGTGTTTCTTGATGTGTCTTGGGTGCTATCCTTGCCCCTCTATTTATATGTTGAGCCTTGGGTCGAAACTTGGAGTAAAAGCCTCCACAAAGTCGGTTTCACCCGAAAGGCAAGAGTCCTTCTCGGACTCCAGGGCCAGACGCCACCCTGGCGTCTTGCCCCTGGACTCCGCAAAACTTCCTTTTGCGCTTTCCAAAAACCTTGTGGGCTTTCCCTTTTGGCCCAAATAAAGCATTCTAGTACCCAAACATTTCGGGAAACATCCGGAACCCCTTCCGGTGAATTCTGGAACCCTTCCGGAGACCAAACACTATTATCCCATATATCAATCTTTATTTCCGGACCATTCTGGAGTTCCTCGTCATGTCTGTGATCTCATCCGGGACTCCGAACAACATTTTGTCACCAACATACATAACTCATATAATACTATATCATCAACGAACGTTAAGCATGCGAACCCTACGGGTTCGACAACTATGTAGACATGACCGAGAAACCTCTCTGGTCAATAACCAATAGCGTAATCTGGATGCCCATATTGACTCCTACATATTCTACGAAGATCTTTATCGGTCAA